GATCCTCAGCTGCCAGAAGGGCTCAGGGAGGAGGGGGCCCAGCAAAGCCAGATCTGGACACTTCCTGATGCAGCGGTCAGTATGGTTATGGTCAGTGCCAGGCCACGTCTGCTCCATTAGGCGAGAACTAGTGGCCCAGGCATGGTGTGACACTGGGGGCTGTGCTGCGAAAGGGGGCTGAGCATGCCCCAGCGAGGAGAACGGGGCGGCGGTGGGCAGTCTGTCCCCTTGCAGCACAGGTGTCGGGGCCAGCCCAAAGCAGCCTGCTCTTCTTGGGGCTGCCCTGCAGGATGGGGGCTCCAGGTGGCCCTACAGTGGGACGAGAGGCACTGTCTGGGGCCGTGGCAGCCCAGGGCAGCCACGTGGTTGCTTCCCAGGCTAAAGTGCAGGGTCAGGCACTGAGCTTTGCCCCTGCGGGATCTGGGCACCAGCTGGAGCTGGGATGCCAGGGATCATGCACGCACTTCTGCTGCGGTAGCCTCCAGCTTGCTGGCAAGCCCTTTATGAAAACATATGGAAATCCCCACCACAGCCCACGCTTCTGAGAGGGGACGCCTGATGTCCTCAGACATTTATGTGCACACTGGCAGCTCTTCTCTTCCACACCCCCAGGGACAGCATCCCCATCTCAACCAGTGAGGAGGCCAAGCAAGCTGGCCGACCCCCAAGCCTGCCCTGCTGCCTGATGACTTTCCCCATTGTATCTGAGCCTGAAGGCTGCCTCCCATCACCCAGGCATGGCTGGGCTGTCCTAAGCTCCCGTCTAGACAAAAAGGGCTCAGCAGAATGACATCGGTCAGTGTGTGGCAGGGGGGAGCCTGGAAGCACTGGAGCAAAGGCTGGAGGGGACCAGCAAGAGGCTGAAAGATCAAAATCTCCCACTCCAGAGGGTGTCGGGTAAAAAGAGAGCAGAGTATTCGATTCCAGGTGTGGGTGAGCAAAGGAGGAGGCACTTCAGCTTGGGGCAGGAGTGTAGGCACCGGGGACACAGCATCAAGGGAGGGAGAGCAGTTACGGTCGGGGGCAGCAGGAGCAGAGAGCCAAGGACAAGCCGTACCTGCACTTCCCATCCTGGTCACAGCAGCCGTGGGCGAGATTACAGCGCTCGCTGCAGTCATCACCTACAAGGCAGGAGATGGGTGGAGCTGGGTTAAGCAGAGACCATAGATGACTCCAGATCTGCCCATGGCCCTGCTGGCTCACAGCTTTTTTTTTCCTTCCTAAGCACTCAGCCTGCCCTTCCCCAGAACTGTAAGGTGGGGGACCTTCCTTTCAATGGCTGGATGCCACACGAGAGATGAGGATTTCGCAGTCATCCAAGCCGCGATAATACTGCCTTTATTGAGAAATGGGACCCTGCTTCAGAACTACCTGGTCTCTGATCATCTTCCCCATCCTCTCTCTGCTGCCTCCCTTAGACTTCGCGCCCTTCTGGGCAAGAGCTGGGGTTGCCCATGCATTAAGGCAACCTGTGTAATAGGGCCTGACCCATCTGGGACCTTGGTCCCACGGTCATGCAGGAAGTATGGTGGGAAAGCTCAGGAAAGCCCAGGTACTGCGAGGGGCACAAAGGGAATGAGGATGGAAATGGAAAGTACAGCTCCTCTTTATCTCCCAGGATGTCCCCATCCCCAGGGACAGCTATTGGCACGGAGCGGTCTGGTCGGGGCTCCTGCCCCCCGCCAGGACCCAGCTGCCAGCACTCCCCCTCTGGCACGGGGAGGCAGGACTGGGCATCGCATGGGGCCAGGTATCCAATTCTGTTTATTTATTTAAAGGTCACAGAAGCTGTAACTGAGCCATGGCCTCGCCGTGCCGCTTCTCATCCTCTGCTCAGCGCTGGCCTGCTTTCTCCAGCCAGGTGTCCCCTTTCATCTCCACCTTCCCCTCTCCCCCATCACTTGCTTGCATCTTAGCCCCACGGGGAGGTGGTTCGCTTCAACTCTATGGGCAGTAGAGCTAGAGCAAATGTTAGGAGGCAGGGGGTTTCTCCAGGAGCCCAGCATGATCCCAGGCCAGGCCCACGAGATGAACGCCCTTATTTGACCGAGTCCCTCCATCCTGGACCGGGGCAGGTTAAAGCCCCCACGCCAAGAGGCACACTCAGGCTTTCCCCAAGCCACATGATGTGCTGCCTAGGAAGCAAGCAGGGAGAGAAATCCCCCATGCATGCGTTTTTGCTGCAGTGAGGTTGCAGGTCGCACTGCTCAGGATAAGAGCCTCCCAAAACAAGCCACTGTGGAGCTGGAGCAGCATCCTGGGACTGCTCAGCCCAAGCCTGGGTATTGTCGCCTTTCCTATTGTAACCATCTCTCCTGGCAGTTGGCTTTGGGAATTCATTGCTTATCCAGAGCAAGGGGAGAGCAAACTAATCTTTGGGAATGGATTTTGTCTCACGGGATCCAGGATTAGCCATTCAGTTTTGGGATCTTCTTTCCCCCTCACCGTGCCTCTCTGAACAGGCTCATCGGTTCAGTGACCCATTCACCCTAACTGCGAGAGACAAAGCAGCGGGACCTCTCACTGCAGGTCTGCTCAGGCACCGCCACCCCCATGGGCACCAGAGCGGGGGTCTCTACGATCGCCACCAGTCACCCCCCCAGGGTGCCAGATGACTGAGCAGCATTTTCTGGTCTTCCAGGTCAGGCCAGCTCTGTTTTGGATGGAGAACTGAGGAGACTTCAGCAATGCCAAGGACAGTGTCCTGGTTTGGAAAGACAGATATAAGAGAGAAGGACCCATGTCTACAGAGACTCACCTTGGGCAAGCTGGTAATGGGCCAAGAGGATCCAAACCAAGGACATGAGCTGGAGGCAGAAGCTCCTGAGCATGGTCAGCGTGGCCCCACCGAGATGAACACCTGCAGAGAGAAAAAGAGTAAGCTCAGAAAAATCCCCTGGCTGACACCGCAGCTTCACTTCACGCATCCCTTCCTCTCTGCTACCTGGGAGTTTTGAGTTGAAATATCCAGTTTTGTACGGACTTGTCACTGCACTCGTCTCTGTCCTTCCAGACTCCTTCCTCTAAGGCAACGTTGGAGCACTAAGAATCAAAAAGCCTTTTTAAATGCCTGTATGGGAGAACTGAGTACACGCACTCAATCCTGAGTGTGTAGTAGCTCAGGTTGTTACACCATATCTTGGAGCACTTGCCCCTGCTAGCTGCTGTCAAGAGAGCAGAAGCCTCCAGAAACACCAGTCCAGTTGTGGGGACCTTCATCTTCCCTCCCTAGATCTGGGGGGCTTCAGCTTCGTGCTATGCAAGGTCCCTGCAGTGCACGCACGTTCAAATGAATAGATGGGCTGAGTATTTTCACAGCGCCCAGGCTGCTTTTCAAGCCCTTCAGAAGGGCAAGGAGTCAAGTAGATCTAGCAGACAAGCAGGCGGTAAGCGACAGCCCTATTTCATTTTCCAAGCAAGGGAGTAAAGCTGCAGCCCCAGGTAGGAAAGGCAAACACGCACCTCTCGCTAGGTGCGGTCCTTTTCCTCGGCTGTCCTGCAGAGAGCCCCGTCAGCCCGGTGTTCCTGCACCCATCTATTTTCCGACTGCCTCCTGCCCTCTTGAAGTAACGTTAAATACTTTCCAAAAATGCTTCATTCCCTCCCAGCCTTCTGGGGTTGTTAAGGGCAGGAAATTCGAGGGTGATATCATAAATATATTACTACAATGAGATGGGAGGGGTTAAACAGTTCTGCTAGGAGAGTGGCGAAGGTATGGAGCAGACTCCATCCAGCTGCATGGGTGTGATGGACAGGGGCCATTCCACTTTCAGCTGGACTCTTTAGCTCGGGAAGTTTGTGTTGGGTCAATAGTTGCATGAAAGGCTTCTCAGATGGGGACAGAAGTCCTCCCTCACACACACACACGTACACATGCAATGCAGGAAGAGGTGCTGGGGGCTTCGCCTGCCTGGACCAAAATAGCCCACAAAAAGCAATGATGTTGCTCGAAGCATCTCTCCAGCAAACAAACCATCACCTATGAAGGATGCAGCATTTTCAGAGGGGCTACAGGATGTTCTTGTTACTTGTTCATTTGCCCCAGCCAAATCCCAGCATGGACTGCTGCATCCTCTCTCCCCACGGTCCCCTTGTCACCATGCTCGCAGGACCTTCCTTCGCCTCCTGCCCTAAAACGCTGGGCAGTGGCAAACAGCTGCTGCATTTCAGGGGAGGGTGAAGCAATTCCTGTGAAACTTATAAAATAATTTAGGGCTGACCGGTTGGTATCCTGTTCCTTCAGGGCTGCGAGGAGCTCAACCTCCGACCACATGTCATTGCAAAGGTCGTTTCCCCCACAGCTCCCCACAGCCTCCTCACTCGAGGCGCAGCCTCTC